CCGGGGGGGGGGGGGGGGCAGCATAACTGGCAGTTCAAGAAGGGTAAGGCAAGAGAGACGAAGGGAGAGAATAAGATACACAAGAGGGGGATTAAGAGCGTGTGCTGGCAGGAAGACTTGGTGACATCGAGGCATATTGGGGACGTCTGGACTTGTAGTGGGTGCCCAGTCACTAAATGGAGTAATGCAGTGAGCGTTGGGGTAAAAAATATTGCGAGGGGTCGAATATACGTGCGTCTTTCATGCACCGTCGGAGTATGAAAACGAGACATACGAGGGGCTACAAATAGGTGTAGGTTCAGTCTTAGGGCTACAACGCGGTAGATAGCATCCAACTGGGGGGAAGGAGACGGGGAGATTCGGGTGATGGGAGCAATGGCGATGGGAGCGATGGGCGCGTTGTACGGTGGTGTATGTGTACGACATCTGGAGGGGGCAAGGGGGACGGACGGGTTCCGTGTGTTGAAATGAAGGACGGTCGACGTATTTATTTGTAGGCGGTAATGAGTCTTCTTTGAGTGCAGGGGACGGAACGCGAGTCGCTTTGATGAAGGCCGACTTGGACGGCGTGATGCACTTGGTCACTTGGTTTCGAATGAAATTTGTTCGCTCGGCAGCACGCAATCATGTCATGTCGTTCTGGGGTATGGGAAGCACGTGCTGAGCCTCTTATGTCTGAGACATTGCTAAGAGGGTCTGTCGCCTGGGTTGCTTTGAAGTTGTCATGCATGTTTCGCGCTGGTTAGGTTTCTGACAGCAGAGATAACGAACGAACGCAATGTGTCTCGCGCTTGTTAGATTCCCTGCCTGCACGGATGTTTTGTTCAACAAACGGATGCGCCGTCTACTTTTTTTTGTCTTTTTTCTATTCATTCTTTCTCGGGGTGTCAGCACGACAGACGTACCTCCGGTAGGGGGGAGAACCCCCGACCCCGTATCTCTGATTCCTTCGATTCCTCATGGTTTTGTAGCTCGGCGGAAGCCAGCTTGCGCGCCCGACGGCTTTCGTTCGTTCTGTGTCGGCGAGGAAGAAAGGAGAGGGCGCGGTTCAGTCAACTTGCGGTCGGTATGGTCGGGTGGTGAACGTTATGTTTGGCTTTCCTTGGGGGCGGCATTTTGCGAATGAATGGGACAGGGGCGGGGAAATGTATACACACACATTCACCGAGCGAATGCGCCCGTGGCGAGTTGTACTCTGGGTTGGATGCGACCCCTCTCCTCCGATCTCTTTCATGCCTCCCTCCCGCGAGGGTTGCTGAACCTTTTGTTGTACTTTGGGGAAAACTGTGGGCGTGAAGGACGTCTTGCTGCAGTTTGTGCTGTCGCCGTTTCATGAGTCTGTATCGAACTCGTGAACTTTGTAGCAGTCACTTCATGGCCACAAGAGCAAGGGATGGGCGAGGAGTGTGATTTTCTGCGTGGTGGCGGAGTGAGCTCCTAGCAATTTGGACGACGATCGAGGGCTGATGCCTTCCCCGCGAAACACTGATTTTCAACATATTGTGAGAGTGAGTGATAGTGCTGCGCTTCTGCTTTTGCTGCGCATCGCAGGGGAGGTACCGGGCACGTCAGACAGCCGACAGACTGCCACTCAGGCTTGTATGCTGTCCATACCCAGCCATGCATTGCAAACAGAGCCGATCCACGAAGAAGACACAAGACGCAAAACAAAAGATACACCGGGCAGAGCCCCCGTACTTGTGCGATACTGAAGTACAACAAAATCGTGCACCACCGCAGCAACAAGCGGAGCGACGCACATCCCTTTGAGAATTGTCCGGAGAGGGTAGTCTCTCGGACGCCGAGTAGCCTTCGTACTTTCGGAAGGAGACGGTGGCGGTGATAACGAAAGGAGCGTCACATCACAACCTTCTGAACTTCGAATCTTACCTAATAATTTGAGGCTCCGTTTCTTCAACGAGTTCTTCGTTAGTACTTTAAAGTACTTGCGGGTTCGTGCCGTACCATGCATGACGTACGGAAGTACAGTACACGAAGGGATTTTCGGATGGTGGTCGAGAGCGTGTGGCAAAATTGGGCCACGCCACAAGACATGTCATGTTGCACCAGGGTGCATCACATCATGAGCCTATGATAGTGCATATTCACCCCGTTGTGCTGCCCGGTGAAATAGAGCCAGCCGTAGTCGGACAAAAAGAGTACATTCATTCATCAGTGAGCCCAGTAATGATGTCGTTCAGGGCCGCCGAAAGTTAAAGTTGTTGACACTATTATTTTGGCATTTCACACAGACAGGCCGCCCCATGTCATGCCCATGGGACGTGTCAGGCGTTTTGTACTATAATACGTTCCGGAACAACGTCCGTCCGTTGGCTGCTGGCTTCCATCTTGGTTGTCGCACAAGAGACAACAGAGATGAAAAAAAACGCATACATACGCAAGTGAGACCTGCAGAACAGCCAGCGGTCGGCTTAGAAACGACACCCGCTCAGCGAATTGTCGTCAACGGTACGAACGAGCGTACTTCTATTAGAAAAGGCGGGCCAACTCGATATCCTATATCGCGACAACAACTCGAGTCATTCATCGAAACAATCCTGTCGCGAGCTGGTGCGCTTGTCAAAAGTCGGTCGTGGCATCGTCCTCCTCTCAAAAGGTCGTCTTGCACCAAATTTAACGCTGGGATGGGGGGCTCTCAGACTCCAGGCCATGGAGCATAGATAGGTGGACATCCACACGAGACACCTCGTTCGCCCCCTCCCCCCCAATCAAAAGAGCGGTGTAGAGAAACCTCCCTGCCTCGAGTACACAATAAATCTTCCAACACCTATCTACATTTTTGCACAATACGTTCAGGTCACCAAACAAACGCCGGCAGAATCGCGCCGGCTCTCCATTGATTTGGTTTCTGGTCCCCAATCGTCAGCTCTATGCTCCTCTGTTCCACTGCTCAATTCTGCTACATGCAATGGTCATCGACCCGAGTTTTTTTTTGTTTCCCATACGCGCGCGAAGGACAAGAGCAAAAGGTTAGGTCGTCGAGCATACGGCCCGCCCCAGGATGGCCGCTCCTCACCGAAGCACACAACCCAACGCCTACCGGGGTACTACCATGGTAATACCATGGTATTAACCTTTGCGTGGCCAATATATCTAAATCCTAATCAACCAGTTAGTTTCTACGCTACAATGGGCCAACAACCAGAGCTAGGCTGTCATGGGCACACCAGTTGTTGAAGTAGGCTGGTGGACCAACCAGCTACGGTACTCCTTCCCATCATTGCGCTTGAAACAGGAGGACAAGACCGAGCACGTAATCATAGCTGCAAAAACAAGCCCCCCCAGATCGATTCCGCCAGACCGAGCGAGCGTGGCAGGAGAAGAGGGACGCGCCGAGGGCGAAACATTTCCTTGCTTACAATAGCACTGCCGCCGTATACAATTCAAGAGAAGAAGCAACAACTCTAGCGGTGCCCCCCCCCCCCCCCCCCCCCCCCCCCCC